ATTATTGCCGGCTTCTGTTCTTCGCATTTTTGGCATGAAAACGCGTAACTTAGGTCATATTTTATACCCGTAGATAGATGTTACGGATACTAGATATGGAGCAGACCCGATAAAATCCTTCAGTTTTAGAACCTTACTTCCGTAAACGCTGATTTCTCCTTTTGTACGAGGCTTTTTCTATCGTACACCGCATTGACTTAAACCGTGTGATACTGTAGAGTTTTCTGATAATAAATGTAATGTTTAAAAAAAGAGTTGGTAATTTCATCCGTATAGATATTATGCCAGGTTATTAAGAATACTATACCTACATGGAAAAGGCCCGCTTTGTTATTTGTTAACGGCATTACCACTTCTTTAATATATATATATATATTCGCAGTAGAAGTGAACAGGTACTGCGCGGCTTTTATTTGTACGTAATAAAGAGAAACGTATTGTCTACTGCGTGAAAAGTTCATGTGTATAGCGGGTAGCCTACGTGCCATGCTTGATTACCGTAACAGACGGAAAAAAAGTTCAAAATAGGCACGCAATCTTTTGACACCTGTCGGAAATCAACTAAACAATTGTTGTGGACTTCTTATGTCTGATACTCGTTGTTATATTAATGACGACTCTGACCAGAACAGTAACAAAGACTCGTCTTTCCAATAGACGTAACTGATATTAAACTTCCTTCGGATTAGGTTTCATGCAGATAGAGAAGTGTACAAAAACAAATTAAACACACTCCTGAACTTCTTTTGGACATTGTTCGTACCACATCAAAGACCTAGTATTGATCTGTCAATTATCGATGGAGAAAATATAGATAATATGAGATATTGTTTATAATCATATTGGAGCCATTCGAGCGCCATTGGCTTGCTGATAATTATAGATTTAATAGCGAAATTCTAGTATATTGCAACGTTCTGTGTTTGTCAAGAGTTCGTTTCTCCAAGCGGAGCGATCAACGGTCATTTTCCCGATAAGCGTTATCCGTGGCAGACTCAGCGATGACAAATGTTTAAATTGCCGAGAGATTTCCTAGCAACGAAAAGAAGATCCTACACGTCTGGTCTGAACGGTGAATAGATAGTCTGTTCCTGGTCCTACAGAACACGACGTCAATGTACATAAACGTCGAGTTGGCGCTGTAGCTGCTGAAGCGGCGACCGCTGTTGCCTCAGTTTAAAATTGGTGAATTATTTATGATGTGGGTTCGTAAAGCGGCGGCGCTAAACACTGCGCCCCCGTTTGCATCTCTGCGCAGGAAGACCAGACAACAGGAAGATATTAGAGCCTAGGTAAGAGAGGCAGCAATCAGTTGCGGTACCAACAGGTCCAAGTACTTTTACTTAATCTCTCAGTTTTCTCTTTTTTCGTAAGTCAAGGCATAGAAACTTCTGCTTGTACTGTCCACGGCATCGATATAAATAGAATACCATGAGCGTTGAGATGAAAGACATTATCTCTAAATAAATCACGTATTATTTTAAATGTGTGTGTATTAAAATGGAAACCTCATAAATATAGAAAACAAAAAATGATTGAAACTAATTTGGCGAAAAACTGATCTTTTTGGAAGGATCTCACCAAGTCACTGTGTCATGATAAGTCTGTCTCTATGCGAAAAAGGTGCTCGTCCTCCAAAAATTTCCCTGACATTTTTCGAATGTATTATCAGGCAGATTACAGAACATGGTGGAACTGATGTGTCACAATCATGTTGGCCATCGAAAACTCGGCACATGGTGGCCTTTTAGATCGAGCGCAAAATATCATTAGCCTGATCTGTCACACGATGACTAAACTGCCCGATTCACTCAGAAATCGTTTGCAAGCTTTCTGAGCTGCTGTATGGGCCCTTCAGTGAGAATACGGTATAAAAATGCATTTCACTGCTACAATTTTCGTTGCAAAAAATTAGAAGAGGCTTTCAAAGCAGTTCTCGAATTATGCTCATCCTTCCTGAGCATTAGGGTCCTTCGCGAACTAAAATGTAAAAATTTTGTTGATGTATCTCGTATGAGTTAGAGGTCTCTTGGTTTAGTTTACCGTAGCTACAGACATGGTAAATTTCACGGTAGAACTGGGGTAATATGGTGACTCTGCAGCTTGAAGATAAATAAATTTTGACGCTTTCCAGAGGACATTCTCCTATGTGAACTATTTTACATGGTCCGCTGCAGACTAAGCTTGAGTTTAAACTCCATTGTCCGCAGCGACGCTATGTAACGCTTGCGTAGACGCTAATAAAAATGTAAACTAACCGTAATGTTTACATATATGTATACGCTTGTACGTTAACGTGCCTTTAAATATTGTTAAATCGTGTGGCATTAATATGAAGGTCTAATTTGGGTGTTCTATTTAAGCTGTTGTAAGAATTTCTACTCATATATATATATATATATCTAACATGGCTTTTACATATACCGTCCGTCAGATGGTTGATATGAGAAAGTTATATTGTTACTTCTGCTTTGTCGGTGTCGTCAATCAAGGAGGATGCTTTGCTGGGTGTTTAGCCTTAGAAGTAAAGGGATATCCATGACTGTCCTTCGAGTCATAATCATTGTGCCGAGTTTTTCATTAATCATATCACGGAAACATGATTACTGAGACGTTAGGTCTTGTTTCCTATGTGCACTTTACTATAGCGACCGACTAGGAGTTTACGAATAAAATTAACACCAAAGTCATGCGAAATTTTATCTTTCTAATAAAACCTCCAAAGGGTTTTTGCACCACATTCTATTTTATATATAGTATTTATTTTAGGTAGCTCACTTATAAATCTCCATCTTTTAGAACCCTCTTCATATTAGACTCTTCCATGTGACTGCCGGTACGGTTTCATTTCACATGCTAAATATGTAATTTTTACAATCTAAACTGTTGTTAATTACATTACCTTTCACCTAGCTAATAATTAGCAATAGAAACGGCCCGTTCATGATAATTAAAAACCGTAAAGCCTCTAGACCGTCGGTTTACCTTTTTTTTTTTTCTAAATGACAGAAGCACTGTTCCTAATCCTGTCGGTTGGTCTACGAACACCCTACCGACCTTATATACCTGAGTCACTTAGCATAGAGTCAAGAAAACGCTACTAAATAAACAGTACGTCTTGCAACTATCTATTCTTTCTTTCGCCTTGCAGGTTAGTCAAGCTTAGGGCTCCGAGGCTACAGTGTACCGTACGTTGTGTTTTCGACGGATAAAACAAATGCCGATCCGAGATCTTATTTTTCTGCTTGCCGACAATCTCGTCGTAGATCAGAAATCTAATATATGTAACAATCGATAAAAAAAACATTCAAACGAAGCCAATGTTAAACGATATTGGATGGGCTGAGAGAATCTTAAGTATGACGTTGACGCGAACTGTCACTCTTGCCTCTATATATGCGAAGCGTTTTTAACGCTCTTCTTAAAACACCTTTCTAGAGTTAACGTTATCATTGAATACAGCCTTTTCTGCTGAGACTTTTAATGCATTGTCGAAACGCCTTTCTTAAGGAATGTTCGAGTAATTGCCCCATAATATGGGGCAATATCGGTGGCACAAAAAAACAGTAATAACTATTATACAGTGAGAAACAGCACAGATTAGGTTTCCTTTTTTAGAAATTAGAGACTCATTTGAGTTAGATGTATGTTAAGCTTTAAACGAAGTAGCGCCTTATATCGACTTACTGTTGTTTCGTTACCGTAAATACCGTAGGGCGATATATCGCGTCTGCAAGGCTTCGCAGCACCTCTTTAGCCAGACAATTTTATTGTCACTCGAATCAATAAATGTAGCCCACATCGTCTGCTACCATAATCTTCAATACATCGATGTATGTTTCCTTTTGACGACATAAAGGAGAACTAACTAGATTTTCTGCCATGTATCGAAACAACCGTTACTTCAACAACGTCGCTGTTGCCAATCCTTTTACACAGATTATTCGCGATAAGTTATCATTACAGCTGTACGGAGTCCCTGCTTGTACCTGTATTTTTGACAGTTCCCTAAGATATTCCACTCGTGTGTTTTCGTTATCTTGAACCATAGGATCTCGATTCTCGTCAGGCGTCTGTATGTGTCAGCAAGGTTTTCTTTTTCCTATATTTTATATCGCGTCTCCGACGTTTGGCATCTAGATTAATTAAACAAGCGGAGAATGAGCACTCCTCAGTATATTGTGGCTCCTCAGTATATATATGCTTGGAGATAGCCACAAAGTCGTTTTCTTTTTTGAGTCGACTCCTGGGCAGTATGAGACTTCACCAGATTGTTTGATGTCGATAGTAAAAGTGTATGAAGCTGTCACTTCATGCGATGGATTCACTCTCAACAGCTTTCATGCGTATGTGTGTGTAGAAACCAACAGGGTAAAGCTTTTGCAGCAAAAATAGAAGTGGAATGAGACGGGGTACCGTGAGAAACTTTGCATTAGTATAGAATTTAGAGGTCTAGATACTGTCGAAATCGTAATGGAAACTTTCTACATCGCCTCTGACTAAGGTTGTTAAATACAAGTGGCCCACAAATAACGGAAACCACATGCTTTTTGTTGATGCAGCTGCTTCTGTCGTCGTCGTCGTCGTTTATGTTGGGGGCAGCTGTAGTGCGACGGCTTATTGTGGCTACGCTTATAGCGATTTGGTGACCATTTGTCTTCGATGACGGCAAACGAAAACCAATAGGATAAAACAGAAACTACTGTGACATTTACACAAAAGCCTACCTAAGGTCCCTTTTTCAATTGCGATGTATAACAGGGCTGACAAAGCCGTGCAACTAAACGATGAGTCACGCCGAATGCTGTCGGGGCAAGGTATGAGAAACTGACCACTGAAAGCATCAGGCTCGAAAGAAGCTCTAGTGCCATAAATGACCCATAATAGCATAGCATCGCGCAATCATCGAGGTTCAGTTCAATTGTCATCCCTGTTTGCCATTCCCCTATGAAATTAAACCGCACACAAGCATGGACCTAAAAGAACTCTTTCCGTCTTACCACCTATAGGTTCCTGTTGTGGCCGCTGTTCCTGTAGAGGGTTATAGATCAAGTCCTGAAAAAAACGCTTGGTGTAGAGGAAGTGGCTGTGTGAGTCATCGTTCAAAGTTAGTTCACGAAATACGCCGAGACGTTCTGAGAGGCAACGCATCGCAAACGTACCTACACTCTGTTTCTCTCTATTCGTTTCCCTCTTTAGTCTACAGTCTTTCTCATGGTACGAACAGCCACGAGCAGCACTTCTGCCCTGTTGCATGAAATCGACGCGACACTCAACGGAATGAAGAGCACGCTAGCGATAACTGGTTGATGTCGCACTCACGTTTAGCAACGCGCGCTTGATCTGATTCGATCGATAGAAGGGTTCGTTTTTTTCGAGTACAAATAACGGCTATGACGTGAGCTGGCATCTTTGGTTGTAATTGTCAATCATTATTATCCAGCACGAAATGTATAACACTCTACAAGATACCAAGGCGTAAGTGAGCAGAGTGTTCGCGCACTATCCGCACGTCCAGGATCTCTGTCCCGAGCATCAGCAACACTTTGAGCGCCACGAACATTTCCGGCGGACGTACGCACCGGTGACGTAGCACCACTTAGAGCTTTTTGAATTCAGAACAAGAGAGTCCAGTCACAGCACAGAGCGAAAAGTAAATGACTGATACAAATACGATGTAAAACTACTTTTTCATTGACCATTTTGTTTTTAGCGTCAATTTAGGCGTAAGCAAAGCAGTTATCAACGACTAGCGTTATGAGACAATAGTTTGTAGTAGACAATTAGTTGTCCAATAAAACACGAATTTCTCGAATGAAAAATTTCGTGTTAATGCCTTATTGTCGCTCGCAGTCGTCACCAATATAAATTTGTCTACGAGTAACGATTGAATCTAATTTAATTATGATCGTTGCTTTTCATCATGTAATTGTCTATTAAGTACAAGTGATTTTTAATAACGGGTGCGCACTTAATCTCATAGTAACATCAGCTAACACTTCGACTTGTCGTTGGGTCCATACTTTCGTCTATACAACTGTTGTTACTAAACACAAATCAATGAGCTAGCTAAAATTTATCACGATTTCTCCGCAATACTTTTCCCACTTTTACGCGGCTCCTTTATCCTTCCTTGTACTGCATCTACTGTTGCATAAACAATTTTCGTAGCTAATGTTTTTCTCACGTCTCGCTGTTTCGTTACGTACGTCAACGTATCGGAGTGATCGTCATTTGTTTTTCGTCGCCCACGATACGAGCCGCCAATCAGGCTGTCTCTTCTAATAGCGAATTCTAGCAACATTCGCCTATACCGACTAGATTACGGTATCACTTGTAAACATCTGCGACGACCTAAACCAATTGGAAATAACGGCCGCAGGCTTTTCACGTCTCCAGGCTCTTTTCGTCAGCAGAGGAGGACGTTGCACTTCACAGTATTTCTCGTTACGCCAGTATCTACGCAGTTGTAGCGGCAAGGTTGGTTGGCGCAAATTTACCCCTCTTGCCTTATTTTATCTTGTTTCTGAGCACTGTTAATAATACAGTAAGGAACGGCGCTGTGCCTAGAGTATTTTGTCGTCCACAGGTCCCATCGCTTGATCCAGCTACTTGTCGGCATCGTCAAACGACCCGTTACGATTAACTGCGAATTACGACCTACCGATGTAGAACATCATCACAACACCGCCACGACCACTTTGAAACGAAGCTGCCATGGAGATCTAGCTTATAATTGCAAGCGCCTCTTTCTCGTTGGCTGATTCTCCGTTTCCTTTTACTACTCCGATGACGGTTTAGAGTCCTTTTGGTCAGCGAGCATCGCTGCGTTTCGCTACTGTCAGCAATGCAATGACTATGATAGCGGGGGTAGCCACCACGCGTGCTAGGCTGTTATGAAACCGCCCGTAGAAGTCGAACCACGGCGATCGCCAATGGCCCTCCTCTAGAACATTGGACGGGAAATGGGAGAGGGATAACCGACAAAAAGGAAAGAGATGTTCCCATCAATGAAAGGGAAAGGGGAACACTCCAATTGTTTTTCTGAACACAGCAGCAGCAGCAGCAACAACAGGCGCTAATAATACGATCTCTGGCAGAACGCGCGTAAAAAGCGTGGTGCTGCTGCTGCTGCTGCTGTAGGTAATGGTAGTGAAAGCGGGGTGGTGGGCACGAATGCCCTGGTGCAGCCGTAGATGTGGGATCTGCAAGAACTTCGGAGACGATGAACGTCTGATAGAAACAGAGGGGGTGGCTTTGGCAGTAACGGCAGCGGCAACAGATATATGTAAGTTTGTCTCATTATGTGATTTTAGCTATCAGTAGAAAGACGCCCATCGGCATATATACGGTTATTTGAAACTGAGAACGGCGAGTAGTGCGCATAGAAAGAATACAGTAAATAAGTCTGCACTGAATGCGTTAGCTCCATTGGAAGAAACAGACCCTTGTTAAACTGCAGACGGTATATAATGACACAATCTAAGACAGTGTAAAACTGTGACCTAATTGAATTTAAAAATGATCTTTTTCTATATACAGAAGTGCAATTCCAATACGGATTTAAAGAGCTATAATAATAGTACAGAAATGGAACGCAGCGGATATACCGCAACAACGCTTGCATGTTAAACAGCAAGATCTCCTCTAAAAATGACAATTACCTACTTCTCTAGACTTTCTGTGAGAAGCACTACGAAACAGTTCAGACTTTTCTCATCTTGCGTCCTACTATTTGTCAATAAAACATTATTTTTCGCAGTTGCATTTAAGTTCACTGAAAGGAGCGGGAAACAGCATCGAGAAAGGCGTCGGCTTCCCCAGGATATGCCGTCGTTGCCATCTTATGTGCGTATGAATATATGTAAGAACCGTCCCTTCCTTTTCGCACCGTGTTATAGCCCATCATAAATTGCAAACACTAAATAATACGTCTGCACGTGTCGTGTTGTACTATAGCGAAACGTCCGATCACTTGCTTATCTGTCGCTGAAAATGTCTGTTCATGTACATACACCTCAATCTTTCGCCATAGGCAAAATGACGGCTTCGTAAAAATCTTCTGGAACTTTACTCGTTTTAGGCGGTCTTTGTGACCCTTCCATTATTGTTATAAGTTACCATCGATACAAACTGAGAAGCAGCTCTAATATCACATAGTATCTAGCGGTTTTACTTGAATCTTGCTCGATGCGGAACAATTCAGGGTCACTTAGACATTTTTAGTCGGAAGCTAAATTCTAAGTTGCCTCAGTAATAACTAAACATCTTAATAGTATAATGAAAATTATAATAAAAACAAATCAGGGTCGCTTGTAGTGTAAATATGAGCAAAATCTAAAATCATAACATCTGTTTTACTCATATAAACATGCACTCAGATCTATGACTGTTTGCAATATAGCCTGAGGAATGGCTAGCAATCCTATCAGTTTCGTCTACCAAATGATGTCAGTAACCAAATATAACAGTAACCAAGCAGATGACAATGTGTTGAATAAGTATTAGCTATAAAACTGGAAATTAAAATACAATTTTACCATTTTTTTTTATATATCGTACGTTGCGTATTGATAGAAATGTGTGTGTGTGTGTGTGTGTGTGTGTGTGTGCTCTTTTTTAGGAACAATGTACTGGGTACGTTCGTGAGGTGATAAATGCTGAGACGCATAATCACTCACTGCGCGTATCAAGAAGGTCACAACTTACAGTTATTTGCTTATTAACATATAATTATTAACGTATTATAAACATTATAGAAGAGTGTTTTTGGGCGTTGTCAATGATCACACCTATGGGTGCACTGCTAAAAAAACCATCACTTCTAGCACGACGTTGACGCTAGTGACAGATAATAGGAAAAAAGCCGAAGTGCTTCAACGAAATCGTTGGGACGAGGGTTAAAAGGATGCCCATTTGCTTAGCCTATAGAAGAGCTAAGCAAACTAAGCGTGTAGTTATACAGTGTTGCTAGTTTGATCCTCATTCTACTGATCTCAGAAAACTCAAGTATTCGAAAGTTCGAAGTATTCGAAAGAAACAAAAGAACGAAAATCGCAAAATCAAGGACTTAACCTCAACGTAATTCACTTGAAAGCGCGTGTTCGCGTTTTCCATCTGTGGCAATTTCAAAGCACTCAAGTATTTACCCACTATCTTTAGCAGAATTTTCTCCTAGCGTAGCAACAACTTTTTTTTTTTCAGTTATTTCCGAGTGACAGAGACAGATACAATCTTAACGATTAGGTTCCCGTTGTAGGCACCATCGAGCGACGTAACTATCTTTCATGGTAATTGCTGAAAGTGCATTGCAAGCTTTTATTGGCAGTAGGAGAAAAAACATAACTTAGTTTCGAATAGTTAACTAAGACGAGTGAATGGAAGCATTTTGTAGACAAATTTAACAATATGCGTCTTGCATCGTATTGTGTTTATTTTTTCATATTTGGGTATTTATACACAGCATTACCGATAGCCACGATACGTAATAAATAGAAGCTAAAATAGAGAAAAAAGATCAAAGACTACGAATAGAGAAAAGTATCCGTTGCTTTAATTGGCAGAATAAAACAAGATTAAAAAGTAATTATAACTGAACATTTATAAACTTTTAATAACTTTTCTTATATCTCGACTTTGCAGCCTAAATTTAACACAGAGATTTTTTGTTAATTAATAGTGAATTTTTTTTACCGATATAGCTCTTCCTTTCGCCTCAAAGCGTTTCAGGAATAGATCTACTCCAACAGGATTTCCTTTCATGTCTATGGGCCTAGGAAACAGAACTGCACCATGTCCTGAATCGGAACATTAGTCGTTGTTTGCCAAAGTACAGCTTTTGTCGTCGCCGCTCCTTTCCTGCCGATGTGTGCTGAATCATCATGAGCGTATATTGCTGGCATTTCACACACATCTCCGCTTCGCGTATCAAAAGCGCACGCACTTGGTTTCGGCGTCCTTTTGCCAGGACCGGATACGAACGCGCACGTAAACACGAAGACAGGACAACGGCAAGCAAACACAATTCAAAAATCATTCAAAGTAGGCCCAACAGCAACGGGCTTACATTACATACGGAAGTGCCTACCTAGCGGTACTCGAAACTCGTTCACCCGATACTATCGATGTAAGCGTTCGTTTATTCGATTGCCTTTCTATTTGCCTCGATTGTCGATTTCTGCATTACAATAGATCTCATTTGTGGGTTGCCCGGCCAGCTTCAGTCCGCGACAGCAGTGTCATGCAGCGTACGCGATGTACGTTCATTGATGCTGCCGCTGCTGTGTTGACAAGCGAAAAAAGGGCAGCGAAAAACTGGAGTTGGGGTGAGCTGAAGGGAACCGAGACGACAAGCGTCCGCACCAGTGGAAGAAAATGTGTGGGAGCTTGCTGAAAATCCAGATATTCTCGTGCTGTCCGGACGCAGCTGAATCGAATCGGCAAATCGGCTGGCAGGTTCTGTCTCCTTTATTTTATCTTCTTCTTTTAGCTCTTGCGGCAAGAATAGCTTAACGGTCTGGCTAGGGTTAGTTGGTGTACTAAGGGGCGGCGGTCGCTGCCGAGTAGCGGGCGAGAAGAGTTTGTAGAACGCACTAGCTCACTCAGAAAACACCTAAGACTAGCTATGATGAATATGTTCTAATAACTGTTAAAGTAAGGCATGGGGTGCTTCTTCTACCAGGGAAGAGACATACAAGGTTGCAGAAAGGGAATGGTAGAGAGGAAAAGCAGATGAGGACAGGTGGGCAAACACGACGGTGCACGAAACGACCACCTATATGTACACAGGTGAGATCCGGGTCGATCAGGGACAAGGTCAGGGGAATTGGAGGCGCTTGGAAGACAGAAAAAGGCCGGTAGGGAAAAGAAAAGGAAAAAGAGAACAAGTAACATGAATAGTAGCCGCAAAGAAGCAGGAAATTTGGAGCTGGCGAGGGGCAGGATGAAGAGAAACCCCAACCACCAACAGTATACAGCCAACAAACCCACCAGTCAACAGGTACTTGCAAATCGTACCTTGCCAGGTTCACCTCTTGAAAACAATGACATATAAACACTGCTGGTTACCTTAAAAGAGATAAGGGCTGCAGCGAGAAAGCCGACAAAAGAGACTGAAGCGCAGTACCGAAAGGTTCATGAAGGGCAGGTGACGGAAAAGATATTTTTATAATTGAAAAATTAGTGTCTGCTTATGCGGTTTGACACGGTGGTTACGCACAAAGGTAAGGGGAGCAGACGCAAAGCTAGATCGCTGTTCGTCTGCTTTGACGCAATTGGTTTAATGAGCATGTGTGCGTTCAGCAACTGTGTTATATAGACGTATGGTCGATACATTCATGGGCTTGTGAGTGCGGATAGCCAAGTGGCGAAAGCTCACAAGCTAATCTCTAAAATTTTATCGGTAATAGGGGCGATTAGGTAGGAAATATTAGTAACAGCTTATTACCAGCCGCGAGCTTTGGTTGGCTATTTTCTTAACATATTTATGGCAGCAATAAGGTAATTCTCAATAGGGTAACGTGACTAACAGCCGAAATTATTTTCATACCACCACTTTCTTGTATACACAAATCCACACTATTAAACTTCATTGGCTGCCTGTTGACCTCAGACGATCCCTTTGATGACTATAATAAATTTTAACAGTCTAAAATAAACAGTCTAGTCTGCTAAGTGTTTCTTGTGTTAACAACTATCGTTACATATAGATGGCTTATCACAGTTGTTTCATATGCTATTTCGACAAAAAAAAATTCTACTAAAGCAAAATCGATCATCAGTAGTTGATTGTTGTTCCACTATCCCTAAGAGCCCGGCAGTCTCTTCGTATTCGAGCTTAATAAGGGGCACAGATCGGA